GTACATGAACAAAAATTAAGAAAAAAAACACATAGAAGAAAGTACATAAAGGCAGAGAATATTAGAAATACAAAACTAAACTAAAGTTGTCTTGGTTTACAGTTTTATAATAGTCAAAAGGAAACTTTAAAGAAATGAATTCTTAACCAGAAAGCCGCTTCTCTACGTCCTCTTTCCCACTGATCGTCACTTGGCTCCCCTCACATTAGCAAAAAAAGCTGGGTCTGACTCCCCACTGGCAAGCTGCGTGTCCTCTGTCCCTACACCGCTGAGTGTCCAGTGACGCCATCATGCTGGGTTAGTATTGATGATGTCACCAGTGTGACAGGACAGTAAACAACGGAGAGCAACATGGAAGGTCATATTGGCAGACATCCATTTAAAATGTAGGCAACGGCATGAAAAAAGTGGTTTCTACTTTTACTTTTATACTTTAAGTAAATTTACAAGCCTGTACTTTGTTACTTTTACTTGAGTAAAGAAGTTTAATCAGTACTTCCACTTTTACCAGAGTATTTTTTAACACAAGTATCTGTACTTTTACTCAAGTACGGAAAGTGAGTACTTTTGCCATCTCTGGTTAGTGAGTTGTTTCCACTGCCACTAAAATGGATTGTTCCAGAGTATAAAAAAAGATTTTTGGCCAGTGGGAAATGGGTACATGTCTGCGTGGTTTATACACTGACAAGTCTGTAATTTCAGAATTATTATAAAGTGTGCTCTCATACACTCAGTCAGTGTAGGGACTTGTGAAGAACTGGTGTAATGTACATTATTTTCTCAGTTTTAGTGAGGACATGGGCAGCAGCATTCTGGATCAGCTGAAGCTGAATTTAGACTTGTAAGTGACTACTGACTTTCCCTTTGTTTTATAGATATGACCACTGCTAAATGACTGATGTGACTTTTTTCATCAGTTTCAATGTGTTGAAGGGAGCGTTTGTATTCCTAAAAACAAGCAAACTCTTGTTCATTGGTGGTATTTGTAAACCTTGAGCTTTTTTACATTCTCGTAGAATCATTAACTTTAGTGTATTTTCTTGGGACTTTATCTGATAGATCACATAAATATAGTCTATAACTATGAAGTTAAAGGTTCCTTAGAGAATTTTCTTTTCACGTTAACATGATAGCATCAATGAGCTGTCATACAAATCTCCTCTTCATCCACATATCAAATATGCTCTAATAGATTAAGGTCTGTTGACTCTAGGAGCCATTGGAGCTGAGTGGATTCATTCTCATGATCAATTAATCAGTTTAAGATGCTTTAAGATTGTGGCATGGTGCCTTATCCTGCTAGAAGACTGGTACAAGACAGGTTCAGCAATAATATTTAGCTCAGCTATAATGTTTCAAACAATGCTTGGACAGTATTCAGGGGCCCAAAGTGGGCCTAGAAAACATTCCTCTTCTTATCATACCCCAGCAGCAGGCAGAACCATGGATATAAGGCAGAGTGGATTCAGGCTTTCAAGGACTTTATCCCAAATTATCATTCTACAGCATTAATGCACACTGAACCTGAGACCCTTCAGACCATAAAGTATTTTCCATCTGTGTTATTGTCCAACTTTGGGGAGCCCTAATGGACTGTAGCCTTGGTTTCTTTTCTCCTGGCTGACAGAGTGAAGTCTACTCCTGCTGCAGCCTATCTGCTTCAAGGTGCCATCAGAGAAAAGCATACACCATACCTTGGTTGCCGAGTAGTTAGGAAGCACCTGTTGCTTTTCAACTAGAATGGCTATTGTTTCCGACCTCTGACATGAGCGACACATTTTTGCCCATGAATCTAGAGCTAGCTAGATATTTTCTTTTTTTTTATTTATTTTTTTATTATTCTCAGTAGGAAGTTTGTGAGTAAAAATCACATTAAATTAGCCCTTTTGAAAATATACACAGAGGAAGCAGCCTGGCAACAATGAAACATTGTAGACCATTTAAAATGTATTTCCTTCTATTTCGATGTGCAGTTTGAATCTCAAAAACTCATCTTCCTTTTGTTTAAATGACCAAATAAATTCAGTTGCTGTAGCTGCCATGTGGTTGGCTGATTTGCTCTGTGTGATAACTAATGACTAAACAGATTTACCTAACAAAGTGACCAGTGAGTGTAATGGTAAAAAAAAACCCCCAAAAACAAACAAACAAAAAAGCAGTTTTTACCATGCCATCGGTTTTAAAACATTGGTTCCTTTATCTTTTTTAGATCCTTAATTTATCAAGCTCAGTCATATTTTTTAGCTTTTTAATTCCACTTTCCACCCCATCTTACAAGGAAGCACGCCATATTATAAGTCATATTCTGGTCCAGTCTGGATTCCACTTTAGACAAAGACTTTTGGCTTTTCTTTGTTTGCCTGCTGCTGTCCAGACACAATGTCAGTCTCCTACTGGCGCATTGAGGGAAGTTTCTGCTTCCCCTTTAATTTTCAAACCTGGGCAGAGAAGTCAAGGTAAGTAGAAGGGATGATGCACTAAAGTTAACAGTGTGGATTTTCAGCCAAATGAAACGACATAACAGGCTTGGTTTAAACTTAAGAGCATTTACTCACTTGCTAAATATATCAAAAATGTTTTTTTTCCCTCTAACAATCAGGAGATTCCTCTGTCTGACATTGTTTGTGCGCATAGTTGTTTGACTTTGAGAGGGCGGGACTCTGGAGAGCGAAATGAACTAGGCGCGGCCAAGCGGAGCCCCATCCATCTATCACACGTGCAGACAAAGGGGGGACTCAACAACACAGAGCTTGGTGCCCCTCTCAAACTTTTTCCACGGACGCACGGGGACGCGCGCAAAGCGAACCAGCTCAGGTGAGTTGCATCCAACTGGGGATGGTGCGCTCGCTTTCTTCTCTTTGGAGTGGCTTGGTATGTGTGTTTCCAGTATAAAGTTGCGACTGTAGTTGGTGCGTCAGCGCACAAAACTTGAGGACAAAGCAGGAGCGAGAGACATAAAGAAGTCTAGGGGAGAAAGAGAGAGCGAGAGGAGCGGTCCTCTTTTCCTTTGTCTTTGAGGAGAGAACTTGAGGGGATGCTCAGAGACGCATCTTCACAAAGCTCATTTATAGCAAACTTGTGCTATTTCAGAAGGTGTTAAATCTGAGCTTATGATAGAAGTGAGATGGAGTAAGAGCTGGTGCCATGTTTTTGTCTCCTGGGGATGTTGCAACACACAAAACAAAGCCTGTCAGAAGTTTGCGCAAGGAAGAACCTTTTACGCACGCAGGAAAAAAGAAATCAAAGTTGCATATTTTGTTATTGTAAACGATTAAATTGCGCCTGCTATCGATTTTTATTTATAAAGTTACTGTATTTTATTTTTTGGGAAGTTGGAAGAGCATCGAGGGAATTATGTGCAATGCAATCAGGTGTACAGTCTGCAGGAAAGTGAGTCACAAACTTTACCTACATGATATGTTTAAGGGCAAAAAAAAGATGTGACCAGATGAAAACCAAATTAGTGCAAACGGAGGATCTCGAAGAAAGTTGTTGAAATCAGATCAACAGGTATAAGTCGCTGCAGCCGCGTCTTTGTTACAGTAAAGGCTCCTTTGTTCTCAACCCCATACAAAGAAGAGCGAAAGAAAAGAGCGCAAATCCAACAGGAAATGGCCGGTTTCTCCTAAAACTCATTTGATTGAATATCTTTTTAATGCTGTTATGTCAGATTACTGTCCAGAATAATACAGATTTTTTCAAAAAATTTATTTTGCACCTTGGAAATAATGCTTAACAACTTCAGTTTTAATTATTAGAGGACCAAAAGACAACTAAATGAACCCATGAGAGTAAAAAAAAAACCCCACAACAAACATTTTATTTTACCTAATAGTTTGTTTGACATATATGCACATTCCTCTGTGTAGTGAGTCCATCTGTAGTTCTAAACTCGCTCATATCAACAATAGATGCCCATTTATTGTTCATAAGGTGTAATAAAGACAATAATTTCTCATATATGCTGTTTTAACTAAAAAAAAGTTTATTACAACTTAATACATTCTTCTTTAAGCCTCACTTAACTATTAAAAGTTTATTACTCCTCTGTTAACTTGGACATGTTTAGCAATTTTGTTGTTTAAAAATAAACTTGTTTTATTTACAACAGTTCTGAACTCCTAAAACTTTGCAGAATATGTTACTGTAAAGCTAGGAGTTTATTTACAATAAAATCAATGTGTTCTGTACCGCATGATTTGTTAAAGTTTTATAACTGTTGATTCAAAATGTATTCTGAAAAAAACAACAACTTTAGATTACAGTAATTATAGCTAATAGCGGGAGAGCAGTCATAACTCAATCTTGGTATTTCATAGCCAATTCTTATTTATCTTAAAGTGTCTATCTCAAACGTGTACAATGGCTAAAAAACACTGTGATGAATATATGTGTTTATGCAATTGAATGAACGAAAAACAGTAAACACCTGGATTTTATTTAGTAGTAGATTTGTTAAAAAAATGTTTTGTGATATTACATTAATGTTACATTGGTTTCCCACTATACACCAGTGCAGGACTAATTTTCCCTGGAAAGGAAAACACAGCAGTGGTTAGAAGATTATTTCAAACTGATAAATGTTTGACATCAAATAGTTTACAGAGCACAGAGCAAAACTTTGATTTATTTGCAATTTTTGCTACAATCTTCCTAACCTGTTTTTTGATTTGTCTCCATCTTCAGGTGGAATTTTAACTCAGGTTGTTTTGCACAGCATCTCCCGCGGAAGGTGAAGGAAAAATAAAATACGCACAAACAGCATGAAGGTCTCACCTATCAAGCAACGTTTCAAGAGAGAAGAGGATTATGAGGCTATGGAGCTTATTTTTGGGAGAAGGTAAAGACTTATCGCACGTAGGATTTAAACTTCAGCAACAGCATTGCCAGTCAGATTGCATTTTAGGGAACCCTTGGAAATCCAGAACTCATGGAGACACTTTTAAGGATTATAAGAATTCTTTGTAACTCTCTCTGCAAGACATATCTTGGACTTGAGACTGATCCTACTCATCCTTCTGCATGGGTAAGTTATATGTGATGATCCCAGATATTGTTCAGTATATGTATATGCATAGCATTGCTGATAATGAAGTAGAAATAAAGACAACAGAAGCTATTTTACCAAATCTGATATTTGAAACAACAACCCGGCAGCAGCTGTTTTTAACAGAAAAATAGAAGTAGAAATAAAATGGTAGATTTTAAGTCTTTGGCCTTTAGTAAAAGCATCATGTTTTCACTGTATGGGTTTGACACAGAAAGTTAAACAAAAAAGTGCTTTTACTCCTGCAAAATAGTGGATATATTTAAAATTATAATTCAGATAAATAGATCCCTACAATTACATATGTTCTGTTTTATAATAATCTAAAATTCTACCCTAGTCAGGCTGTCTGCACCAGTAGCCAACAACTATGTAACAGACATCCTGATTGTAGTTTGACAACTCTATTGTCTTTTCCTTAATCACAGAATGAAGGCCTTTATTTTGAGCTACCAAAAATAATGTTTCACAACAGTGAAATCTGTCTTTGTTGTAAGTGAAGTAAAAGTGTTGCAATTTTTTTTTTCTCCGGCCAGAATTCCAGGAGGATAAATAAACAGGTGGGGGAGGGGCAGGATGCTTTAAGTATTTGCTTTAGTTACTTAATTTATTTGTTTTGAAGCTAGAATGTTTGAAACTCTTGGGTATTCTTAATGCAGCCATATATTAAAGTAGTCATTTCTTCTTTTTTCAGTCCACATTTCTCACACTATGATTAGCTCTCTGTTTAGTTACATTAATTGTTCATTATTTTGAGATATGCTGAAATATTTTCAGATTTATTGTAACTGTGCAACAATTCTATAAAGTGCAACACCAACTAGCAACATCATGTTATACCAGGAGTTTTAGCTGCTCCAATTTAACAATTCCTAAGATTTCATCTCAGAAAAAGCACCACATTCTCCTCCATTTTTCTAGCATTTGGGAACATAGAGTTGCACAGCATTGCCCCTCTCCCACCTGATGCTGGGAAGTGCAGTACAATGGGCAGAAAGAGCTTTTTTTTTACCTTTATCATAGACAAAGAAAGTCGGCTGTCATAAAATATTTCCTATTGAGAAAACAAAGGACAGTCAACTTAAATGTCAGTACAGTCAATCTTACATAAAATATAAGTGTCTTATTTTTATATAAGACACTTAATAATACACTTGTTAGTAGACTTGGGCTTCCATGGTTCAGTGACATCAGTTCATAAATTTTTGTTCTTAGATGTCGACCTAAAGCTGATAAACTATCTCACTTCAAACATTTAGTTTTTTACACTTTCACTATTTGATGGAAACACAATAATTTAACCAGCATGTTTTAGAGCATTGCCCTTTAAGTTATGATCATAAAAGGGTTGATTAAAATAAAAGATATTTGAGTAATTTCTCATTTTTTATGAAGCTTAAGGGAGAAAAAAAAATAAGATAATCTTATTTTGTGGTGAAACATCGGAGATTAGATTTTAAGCCATATCACCACACCTTTTTGATGGCTATTATTTAATTTGGCTGTTTTTTATTCCGTAGTTATACTTAATTCTAGACTTTTAAATTAACAGTAAATCAATTTTATACACAATTTTAACTAAAATGATTTCTATTTCTTCATATTTCAAAAGTAAAAGTCATAATTTTTTGCTTTTTCTCTACTAAAAACGAGGGTTTTAAATCCCAGCAGTGATACAAAGAAACTTAATGTTGAGAATCATATTTTATTCTTCATGTTACATCCAACAATTCAGTTCGGTGACTTGCAACACGAAAGCAAATGTCTCTCAAAATCTTGCTTTATATGCTTACTTCATACTTGCTTGTGTTGTTCAGCCAAGCAACGTCCTAAAGCTGCATGACTTCATTGGATTGTAGGGCAATGAGCGAGCAGGATTCACTGCTTTCTCACTCTCTCTCTTTAGAGGTCTTTATCAATGATGTCACTGGGAGCCAATTACAACTTACAACCGCTCTTGTCATCTTTCAAGCTCCGCCCCTCTTGTGCATGGCAGCCGTCATGGTCATGCAGCATCTCATTTTCACTATGTATTACCGTGCAGCGCTGAGGCACAGACACAGTGGGCGTGCAGCATGTGGAAGGACTTGGATGAAAATCTGCCATGTTCATTCAGGAATGAGTTCCTCATCGCTGTAAGCAAATATTACAGAAGAGATGACTGCAAAAGTTAGGAAGAAGGACATTTCCTTTCACAAGGATTCTTTCGGCAGTAAAAATGTTCACCATACTGTGAATAAGCAAAAAAGTCTACCAGAAAATTCAGACGTTCTTTATTTAGTGTATATTTGATATCCATAAAGACTTACAGTAGGTACTAGGCTTGGATGTTTTTTGTCTTTGTCAAATTATTACAGCACCTAACAAAAGAATTCATGCCTCTTAAATCATTGCCATATTTTCACAGTAGTTATAATATTTTATTGGGATATTGTTTCATTCAAACACAAGGTAGTGCATAATTGTAAAGGCAGAAGTAAAATGATGCATGTGTTTTCTGATTTTTACAAGTGAAAGAGAGTGGCGTGGGCCTTTTTCCTGATCACTGCCAGATCTTTACCAGTGTTGCCCAACCTTGGCCTTCAGGGCCCACTGCCCTGCTGTTTTATGTTTTATTATGGGTTATTAACAGAGCTCTGTGGTACAGTATTTGTTGGCAAACAGGAGACAATTCTGTAATTTGAATGAGGTATGTTGGAGCAGAAACGCATTCAGAACGTGAAAGACTGGGTCCTCAGCAAACAGGAGATCCATTTATTGTAGGGCTGCAAATATTGATTATTATTGTTTTCAAATAGCTGAATCTGTCGAATATTTTTTAAATTCATAGGCCTAGATTATTAATCAGTTAGCCACAGGTTCCTTAAAGAAGACTTTGCATAAAATTAAACCAGTGAAACTAAAACTTTTTCACTTGAGGTGTTTTGGATAGATCAGATTGACAGATGAAAAAGTTTTTTTTTAGCCTTAAATAAAAAATGTTTTATGTATATATATTTAAAAAACTCTTTTGTTATAGTAACTGCTCTAAGTGGGCTACTCTGTCTGTGTTAACGATTACTGGATTACTGAATAAATTGATGATTATTTAATAATCAATTAATCATGATTCATTTGATTAATTGTTTCAGCCCTAATTCAATGTAACTATTTTATAATAGCCTTGTCTGTAAGTATTTTTAGGGTTCTTACTCTCCTAGAAGGGGAAACTTCATACCAGTCTCAAGTCCTTTGAAATCTCTAACAGATTTCATTCCAAAACTACCAGTCTGCTTAACCATCGTTTGCTTAACACTGTTAATGTCTATTATTTATATTGGGTGGTGTTGGCCTAGCTGTTAGGGCAGTAAGCATGTGCTCTGAGAAGGTTGCAAGTACCCGGTTTGATCCCCACAGCCTGCACTCTGGGTTCCTGAGCAAAACTCTTAATCCCACACTGCTCCCCTGGCGCCACACAATGGCAGCCCACTGCTCCCCAAGGGGATGGGTTAAAATGCAGAGAGTTAATTTCCCCATTGTGGGACAAAAAAGGGATTTACATTATTTGTTCTCTGCCACAAAGTTTTGCCTCCAGAGTTACCATGGGCCTCTTGGCTGCTTCCCTGTTAATTATCTTCTTCTCTGACCTTTGAGTTTAAGTAGATCACCATGTCTTGGTAATGCCCCTGTCACCCCTTGACAGTTTAGACCAGCGAATGCCTGACGTACGGAAAATATGGCAAAAATGCTGGCATACATTGGATAAGTTATGGGCACGCTTGCACACGTCGACATACGGCGAGTACGTCGAGGCGTATGCCATCGTATGCTCATAAATGGGCCATAAGTTACAGGTAAATTATCTGATTGTTCAAATACATTAAGAGTAAGTTACTCATAAGTCGTGGCATCTAGCTTATCCAAAACTTATAATAACTTGTGCATAACTTATGCGTAACACGTATCTGACGTGTTCCAAACGATAGCTGAACGTGTTTCTAACTTACAGCTACTGTATAATGGCGTATTGGCAGCGTTTTGGTAGAAAAGGGGGTTCACAGGAGGAAACTGGCAGTTCTCCTCAAGACTTCATCCCCATCATAGGGTGAGCTAGAAGGTGAGTGTGATGGATCCTCCCTGCATTCGCGCCCACGGCCACGACCAACAAACTTCCTAGCAGACATGATGCTGAATCTGCTGCGACTGCAAACCTTCTTCTCTTCTTTTTCTTTTTTCTTTTTCTTTATTTTTTTTGGCAGGTGGTAAACAGCAGCTAAGTTAATACCGCGATCAAAGACATCTTTTTATGCAGGCCAGGTGCCTCTGGGTGCATTGCTGCCCCCCTCAGGAAACTGGTTTGTGACATTTCACGGGCATTACGCTATCATGGATTATGCATAAGTTAGGCTGTCGTTAGACATAAGCTCTGGACTCCTAATGAATACGCTATGTATTAGGGGTGGGTATTGGCAAAGAAGTCATGATTCGATTCAAATCACGATTCACATGCCACGATGCAATTCTATCACGATGCATCACGATAATATTGCGATGCATTGCGATATTTTCACTGAACACTAAGAAAAAGATACAGCCCTTACCAGTGGCTGACTGACTGGGTATGATCTGGATAGTGTCTTCAATTGATACATAACTGAAAGCAACTGAATTCATACATAGCTGTATTTATTGAAACGACTTTTGGAGGTGTTGCCATGAAAACAAATACTGGACAGAAATATTACTATTACTGGTGTGGACACACTGACAAAAAGATCCTAGGATTCATAAAACTTAAAATAACAAAATAAGGATAATCAGTGCCGTTTACATGGCCTCAGTGGTCCTTTAAACCAATGAAATGAAAACATTCAAATGTATATTTCCCTTTTTGCAAATAACGTGTGTCAAATCAATTTCATTTTTACCTTCTTTGTTTTTAAAACCAAAATGCATCAAAGCATCTGACTTGAAATGTGATGGAACCGCGGGGCGAATTT